ATAATTCGCCTCATGGGAGAGTGCACAAAAAAATTGTCAACAAAACAGGTAAGGGAACCTCTTGGTGTACAAACAACGTGAACTTTGAAGAGCAATTGCAAAAGAAACAAATAGTGACCGATATAATGAAGATTTTGTGCACAAAACTACCAAAGAAGCTACCGATTGCTTTAGGATAAACCGCACCAACGCTACCATGAGACATGAATAAAAGCCACAAACCCAAAAGGGCAAACATGGACAAAAGTCATACTATAATCTGAAAAACTCGCATTATAAAAATTCAACCCCATCTCTTGCCAACCCACTCTGCCCAAAAAAAACTTGAGACAGAGGATTTTGGGAGAATAATTGGATTGAAAAAAAGACAACAAAAAAATAGTGATGGAAAACTCAAATCTAAACATGCTTAGACACAGAAATCAACACAAGGAGAACTATTACAGGTTTTTGCCTTTCCTTCTCCTCCAGCGACTTTTGCTCTAAATTTTCTTTGGAGGCTAACGAGCGAGTGTTGTGTATTGCTCTTCTTTTACTTTTTAAAATTATTTCACGATGCTTTTTAAATCCGAGCCTGCCAACTGCCGAAATACATTTAAGTATTTTCAATGTACCGGTCTTTTTTTTTTAATCACATTCAAGAATGGTTCATAATTTAATAGAAATCAGAACCATATTGTTGAAAAAATAGAAAATAAAAAACGACTCAGTTTATCTTGGGCAGTCACGAACACGTCTCTATCTGTAGTCGTATTTTGCGAGCTAATCCAAGCCCAAGCAACCGCTGTGCGACTGTTAACATACATATATATATAACAGTGAGTTTTATCTTTTTATTTGCTGTATGCTTTTATCTCTGTCAATCTGAAGTGTGTTTTGTAGCTGACTAGGGACGGTATGTATTCATCGGGTGGTCATTTGTTGAACTTTTCCTCCTTTTAAACTAATTAATTAACTCCCCAACAGTGCAAAACCCTTCTCTCTAGCTAATCAATGTATCTTGCTTTCCTTTTATATTTTTATTTTTAATTATGTAGGATTCATGCCTGGTCCAATGGCGGCAGTACTGTTAAGTCTAGAATCCAACTGCAGAAAGATTTTAATAATGATAAAACATGAATTTTACTGGGTAGCAGAAATGGAACGAAGATGAGATTGAAAACTTGAAAGAACCATACGAAAAAGTCAAGCTACAATATTAGGCACGCAAGATTTATCTTGTGTGCAAATTTTCCTGTTAGACCTGCAAAACAAATAACACTGTTCGGTTAATTAACAAATAGCTGGGGAGGAGGAGGAGGATGATGTTTGTCAAATGGTCTCCGGTTGCTTAGGTCAAAAAAGATCTGATGAAAACTTAATCTAGAGATATCTGAGTAGTACCAAAGTGGCGATTACCAATTTTTCTAGCGGACATGGCTAGTTTACAGGAAAAGTTGCCCTTAAGTTGTCTGTCAGTAGGCATACTAATGGAGCAAGCAACGGGCAGTTATGCTTGACAAAGTGAAGTGGACAAGGTAGTTTGCTCACAAAAAACGTCATATTGAGCTTTGAAGTCCACGTGGCGTATTCCTAGTGGATGTGATTAATTTTTATCTTCAACATAATTGTTGCAAAATTCATCAGGTTCTTATATGCAAGATCTAACGGTTAATTTTTTAGATCACTTAGAAAAATTAAAAAGGAAAGCAATTAGAGTAAATTGTACAAATGGTCCTTAACTTTAATCAAATTGGAGCAATGGTCCCTCAACTAAAAATCCATTACCATTGGTCCCTCAACTTATCAAAATGTGTAGCTATAGTCTTTTTCATCAATTTTGTCAAAATTTTGTCAAAATAAGCTATGTTGGAATGACTATTTATATAATTAGGGTCCCTTAACTCATCAAAGTGTATAATTATGGTTCTTTTCGTCAATTATGTCAATTATATTGTGTAGTATCTATGTTATTTTATTTTATTTTGGTAAATTTGTGGGCTCGTAGTCCATGATTTAGGTCATACGCACAAGTCCAAATGTCCAAGGTTTGTGGTTTGGATTCGAGGTCCTAGACTTTGATTTGAAGTTTGAAGTTTGAAGTTTGGTGCTCAAGGGTTCGTTAGTGATATTGGGCTCCATGGTCGTGGATTAGGTACACGGCTTGGTATTGTTCCGCCTTTTCAAAAACCAATAACATTTTATTGTTCCGATGTGAGCATCTTTTGTTTTGATCAAACAGTTTTCTGCTTAGTCACCGTATGAGACTACATCACTTAATTATGTTTCAAACAAAAGTAGCCCAGACCCAACAACGCCCGAGTTTACTGGTACTCATCTTTTAAATGTTGAAGTGGTCTGAAGTAACAAAAACTACCCATAAAGATAAAAAAGAGGAGTGTGGACCAAATAAGAGATTGGAAAAGATAAATTTAGCGCCGTTAATTATTTTAAGCTTAATTGTAGTAATGGTCTCAGGACTTTACTTTCATTTTAATTTTTGTCCTTAGGTTCTTATATTAGTTTCTTTGGTCATCGAACTTAATAATATGTTGTACAATTGGTCGTTTTCACTAACGCTATCTATTTTATGTTAAATTACAATTTTACTAATTTGGTTAGACTTAGAAATGACATATAAAGTTTAATGTACTTAATTTGTGGGTACCATTCAGTATTGATCGATGCTATCGGCCATGAAGATGAACATGGTTTGCATGCAAACAGGACAAAACCAGTTAATGAAAAGATAGGATTAAGACTCGTCAGAAGGACGTTCGACAACTTTAAACGAGGCCTAACAAAAGCTAAACCCCTTCATTAATTCAGTCAAACATAGTACAAACGGGGGCAACTTTGGCAAAAACCTCTAAAGCATGTGATGCTGTTTGTCGGTAAGTTTCAGAATACATTCCAAGGCTGTGCTCTGTCGGTAAGTTTTAAAATCACTAATTTGACCCTGGAATAGTAGCGTTGGAATACTTTTAAAATCGCAAAATGATACAACAGTATTTATAAGATAGCCTCCAGTCAAGGGTTTTTAGGTCACTTTCAAGTTCGAATTTGTGCAAAACTCGTCTTCAGCTAATGGCCGAAATGAATCTGCTAAAATTCAAAGCTAAATTTCGCCAAAGTACAAGTACATATAGCAAGCTGTCAAGATAACATGTGTATTTCAAAATAAGATGAAAAGATTTAGTTCTGCATGAAAATATAACATGTATATAAGACACTAGATAGAGTAACATTGTACTCATACTATTTATAAATTGCACTTGTAAGTTAAGAGCAAATCCACCGGGGCTTGATAGCCCGACATCCAGCCCCACAAATAGCCCAGCACCTAGCTAAAACCTTCCAGCCCAGCCTAATAGGCTGGCACCCAGCCCAAGCCAGGCCATAGGCCGGTCCAAAATCGACATACCAAAGAGCCGACTCATCTGAAGTCAGGCTTGCGTCAGCCTGATATCAAGGGCCACTGAATTTTTTTTTGCGCTAGGCATGTGCGAAACAAGCGTGCATGGCCACGAGTGGCCGATAGAGTTGCAGAGGCGGGGCCCACTGTGGAGGCGCAATATTGGGTTTCCAGCATGGGGACACGTGGCTCATCTATGTCCGTTGGATTTCCAAAAAAAATTGAAATTTAAAATTAATGGCTATTGACGTGGCACAATGAGGATCGTTCAGATTTTTCCATAAAAAAAATATAAAAAAATAAATAAACTATAAGAAATTATTAATATTTTTTTATAAAGTCAGAAATTAAAAATAAAATTATTATTTTTATTGTTTTATAATAAAAAATAATAATATTTTAATAAAATTGATTAGGCTATTTTTTTAAGGATGGAGATGCATTTGGTCTAACACTATTTTTTTAAGGGTGCAGGCAGTGGGGCCCGCTTGTCAGTCCACTTGTGTTCACCCGAATTAGGGCTACGTGGCCCTCCTCAGTGCCGTAGGATTTCCAACGGCTAGTTTTTGTAGACCGTTGGATTTCCAATGGTAAAAAAAATTTAAATTTGACTTTTAAAATGAACTGTCCGATCACAGATCAACGGTCCACGTTTTTTTCACAAAAAAATAAAAAAAAGGCTCAACGGTGAGAAATATGACCGTTGGCCAGTGGCAACTCCTTGGTTCTTGGATTTGAATATTTTTCAAATCCAACGGTTCAGATTAATTAACTATATTAAAATTTATTAAAAATTATAAAAAAATACAGAAAAAATATTAAAAAATACATAAAATTTTTAAAAATGTTATTTTTTTTTCTATAAATACCTAACCCTCATCTTCTACCTTACACCACATTCAATATTTTCTACACTTTCTATATTACCTACATTTCAATATTTTCTACACTTTAAGAGAAAAAAATGTCTTCGTGGAAGCTCATTGAAGATGTTATGTTGTGTGAATGTTGAGTTCACACTGCTCATGACCCGATTACGAGTAATGAGATGAATAAGTGAGAAATGTGAGTAAAACTACGAAAGCGTTTTGCGATGTACATGAAAAAAACGGTAGAACTAGTCAAGGTCTTCAAGGTCGTTAGAAAAAACTCAACCCATCCCTTGTTGGAAAAACGCCATCTCTTATGCTTTGGATAATGACACGTGGCGTGACGAGATTGGTTAAAAATCTTATCTGAAATTAAAACTATTTTTTTTTCTTTTAGAAAAAATTTAAAAATATTTTAAATGGGCTGGGTGTCAGCGCATTTTGTAGGGGTGGAGATCGTTTGTGCCAGCGCATTTTTTCACTGGGTGCCAACGCATTTTTTAAGGGTGGAGATGCATTGGCCTATTACTATTCATTGGAGTCTATTACTGTTTATTGGAGTAGATAAATAAGCGGGGTGCTATCACAAAATTCTTAGAGGTGGACGTGCTCTAAGGGCAAAGTCCTAACCATTTAACCTTATCTCTTCTTTTGACAGTGGAGACTACAAACCACAATAAGTGTTGCTATCTCCACGTGGTGTTACATTAAATGGGATAACCAAATGCTCACGTAAACCCGTTTCTTTCTCCACTTCTGCACTATTCTTTTCCCCATTTGTCCTGGAAAGTATGGGTGGAAAAAGAAAAACTACGCATCTTTGAAACAAAAACCCTATAATTGCACACTAATTATTTGATTTTGGTGTGTTAGGAAAGTTGGGTTTTTGAGATCTTTCTGGATAATCCAGAAAAAGGTGAGCTGGGAATTTGTTAAATCCCCCTTGTGTGATTGTTTTTATTGTTTTAGGTGTATAATCTGTTTCCAAGATAATATTTTTTATTGGATTGTTATGAATTAATTATTTGGATTGCTCTCAGATTCAGATTCATATATTTTTTTATAGACTTGAAAGCTGATCTTCCATTGCAGGTGGATTTGTGTTCAAGGAGAAAAGCTGCACCAAAATGCATGAACTGTTCTTTGAATAATCTTGAGTAAGTTCCTTGTCCAGGTTTTGAAAGTTGTTTAATTGGTATTTGATTATTTAGTTTTATGCAGTTGAATTGTTTGATTGATGGTGGATTTCACTTTTACAGTTGGTAAAACATGTAGGGAAGGTTCAATTGATCCACAGATACTGAAATTTGAGGTTTTTTTTCAGCACTTCATACCGTTAGGAGAACTTGCAGTTTGAAATTCTGAGTTGCTTTGTTGGTTTTCTGTGTTTTAGCACCTCAAATCTGATTTCGTGATTGATTAGTACTTCATGTTCATAATTAGTGGGGGGAAGGATGGGGGGTGATTTTTGAGAGTTTTGTGAAGTTTGATACTGAATTTTGATCATGAAGAAACCGAATTAGGCAGTATGAGTGGCAATAAGACTATAGTTTGGTTTAGGAGGGACCTGAGGATTGAGGACAATCCTGCCTTAGCTGCTGCTGCTAGGGATGGTAGTGTTTTTCCTGTTTATATTTGGTGCCCCAAAGAGGAAGAGCAATTTTACCCAGGTCGAGTATCACGGTGGTGGCTGAAGCAGTCTCTTGCTCATTTGGACCAATCCCTGAAATCCCTTGGGGCAGAACTTGTTCTTATCAAAACTCAGAGTACTCTGGCTGCTCTCATCGAGTGCATTCAAGCCATTGGAGCTACCAAAGTAGTTTTCAACCATCTTTATGGTATATCCTGGAACCTCTCTTGAAAGTAATTTCAATCAACTGATAACTTTAATTCGCGAAAAGATTAGTGAAGCTTATCTAGTTTTAATTCTTTTTATGCCTTATCTAATTAATTCTCTCAATAAGTTTGTGTCTCTGTCCTGATTTATCATATATCGAGAAATGGAAATCTCAATCCTTCATCGGATCTCTGTATTTGTATTGTGTTTTAGACTAGTGGAAGATGATTCTATTCATCCTTAAAATTTTGCCTGTGCACAGTCGTAACTGTTAAGCTACCATTGATCCGAAAAGCTAAGGTAATACAAAACTGAGTCTGTATACACAACATAACTAATGAATTATCTATCATTAACTTGAAGGTTTTGCTTCTTCGAGATATTTCACAAAATCCCACTCAAGAAATGGTCAAAATTTGTTTTCTTTTATAACTAGGGCATGTCACAAATCTTACCGAAAACCAATTTATTAAATCGACTATTAGGTTAAGAGTAGGAGGGCAGCCCTTCTCTGTCGTGCTGCTAAGTAAGTCGATGCTGCTTGCGTAGTTAGTTCGAGGCATTTACTTTTCTTTTCCACTTTGTACATATTACCTGTTTTTTTCATCCCAGATCCCGTTTCACTTGTTGGTGATCACAACATCAAAGGAAAGCTGGTGGAGCTAGGCATTTCTGTGCAAAGCTTCAATGCAGATCTGTTGTATGAGCCATGGGAAGTATATGCTGGAAAAGGACAAGCTTATACAACTTTCGAGGTGTACTGGGATAAGTGTTTACACATACAACGGGAACTTGTGACACGTCTTCCTCCATGGAAATTGATTTCGGCAACAGGTACTTTTCAACTTCCAAAGATCTGCGTGTGGCACGTCTGCTTGTTTGTGTTTTCAGGAAAACAAATAAAGAACAGGAGTTTATTACATTTATTGTTGTTAGTGATAGGAACTGTAGCAAAATGTTCACTCGAGGAACTGGGTCTCGAAAATGAAACGGAAAAGTCTAGCAATGCCCTCCTAAGAAGAGCATGGTCTCCTGGTTGGAGCAATGCTGACAAGGCACTAAGTGAATTTTTCGAGTTGCACCTGCTTGACTACTCAAACAACAGGATGAAGGTTGGACAAAACTCCACATCACTTTTGTCCCCATATCTTCACTTCGGAGAACTGAGCATTAGGAAAGTTTTCCAATCAGCTCGAATGAAGCAGATACTGTGGGCAAAAGAAGGGAACTCTACTGGGGAAGAGAGTGTGACACTTTTTCTGAGGGCCATTGGGCTTAGAGAATACTCACGGTATCTATGTTTTAACTTCCCGTTCACTCATGAGAGACCACTGCTGAGCAACTTGAAGTTTTTTCCATGGCAAGCTGACCAAGCCAATTTTAAGGCTTGGAGACAAGGTCGGACCGGTTACCCTTTGGTTGATGCAGGAATGAGAGAGCTATGGGCAACTGGGTGGATACACAACAGGATAAGAGTGATCGTTTCAAGTTTTTCTGTGAAAGTGTTGCTTCTTCCTTGGAGATGGGGAATGAAGTATTTCTGGGATACGCTTATAGATGCCGATTTGGAAAGCGATATCCTTGGTTGGCAGTATATCTCTGGGAGTTTACCAGATGGCCATGAGCTTGAGCGTTTGGACAGTCCAGAGGTAAGTTTTTGCTTTAGTAATGTTCACATAGAATCTTATTTCACTCTGTTCTTTCTAATTAACTGAATTTTCGGATTTAGGTTCAGGGCTCAAAATTTGACCCAGAGGGTGAATATGTAAGGCATTGGCTGCCTGAGTTATCACGTTTGCCAACCGAGTGGATCCACCATCCTTGGGATGCACCTGATTCTGTGCTTAAAGTTTCAGGTGTAGAGTTTGGGTTTAACTATCCAAAACCTATCATTGAGATAGATTTGGCTAGAGAACGCTTGACGAGCGCCATATTCAAGATGTGGGAAATGGAAGCAGCAGCAAAGGCTGCAAGCTCAAACGGCACAGATGAAGTTGTTGTTGACAACTCCATCAGTGAAGATTTGCCCATCCCAAAGGTGATATTAAAGAAAACCTCTCCTTGCCCTACATACTCCTCTAATGATCAGAAGGTACCAACATGTCAAAATTCCAAGAATAATCAGTTTATTAGGAAGAGATCAAAATTTATGCAAGACGAAAGCCCACTCCCAGATAATCCGCACAATCCTAACGAAGCTGGGCCCTCGAGAACAAATGAAGACACGAGCTCTACTGCTGAATCTTCAATCTCTAAGAAGCAGACAACTAGCAGAAATTCATTTTCGGTTCCACAGTCATGTTCATCATCAGAAGGCAACCCCTTTATGGGGTGTGAATCTTCTGAGATGAAGCAGTCATGGCAAGAACAAAGTGATATGGAGCAGAGTTCAAGCAAAAATGGTAACTAATCAAAAAAATTGTTTAACCGTATGATGATTTTATTTGGCGTACTGTTTCAAATTCACTCTACTAAATGATTAATTAAATGCTATTAGACATGTATCAATATGAAAGTGAGGTTGACATGTTATTGTGTTCTCTCCAGGAACAATTAGAGATGCAAATTTAGGTATGTATTTGGCCGGGTTGTTCGGGGGTAGGGAAGGGATGACAGATGACTCAATCTGAGAATTTGTCTCTATATTTTGTTCGCCTAATCAATAGTTATAATAGTCGGTTCTATTTATATTGAGTTTCATTGCTTGTATAGCGCTGTTTAATCACATTGTTTGAAACTTGTGTGGGAGTAGGAGCCGTGGAAGATGAACACCTCTGATACAGAATTCACCGGCGGCTGCTGAGTTCATCAAGAAAGAGGACCGTTCTGGATAATGTAGTAAGCATTGTAAAATCTGTCCTTTTGGTATGACTAGCTCAATGTAATCCCTAGTATATAAACGAAACGAATACTGGCTAATATCAGATGTCCATTCTGCCTCCACAATGGTAGATCTAGAGTTCGATGATTTACAAATTAATAACGTCTGACAGACAATTTGCTAAAATTGTTGATGCAAGTGTGCATGTTTATGAATGCGTCCGTAGAGATAGAGCTGTCCGAGATACAATTTTGCTGGGCAAGCCATTTTGTCCGTAAAGACTTTCAGGCAGGCCTTTTGGGACGTAGTTGCCCACGAAGGTTGTCTTAGGGAAAGTTCAGCGCCGGAGAATTCTGAGTTTGCCCCCAAAAAATTGTTTCACCGGGAAAGAATAATTTCTTGTTGTGAGCTAGCAATGTAATGTGTCCGTAACTTCATCTGAACAATTAGAGCCTTCCATTAGTTTGATCACTTGCATTTCTCAAATTAAATACCAAGTAAATGAAACTCAATCATCACCGACTAATCTCTTGTTAAACAATCTCGTTACTATGTTGTATGGTCGTTAATCACGACGTAAATTCAGATGCGGTTTCTTATGCTTGATGTTGATTGCATGCGGTATATTGATCCGTATTAAGAGAGATGGTTAATAATGCATCAGTTTTGTATGTTTAACATTATTCGTTGAAAAAAAAACAAACAAACAAACATACAAACGTACGTTTGATTGTCCTGTTAGAAAACACACTTAGTACTACGGTTTAGTAGTATTCCTTTTCACTTGTAAGTGAGGGGTCTTAAGTTCGATTTTCACCAAATGCGAACTTGAACTACATTATTGCTAGCTCATTGTGAGGCTAATTAAGCTCACACCCTTCCCCTTAATATAGATAATATTGTTTGTTAAAAAAAAAAAAAAAAAAAAAAGGTTAGAATGATAATATGGAAATGGCCAAAATGTAATTGAGTAATTAAACAGTATATTGAAGCGTCATGAATATTCCCCCTTGGTAATGGTTAGGTCCAGTTAAGTACATATTAATACATTCAAAGAATTTCAGTGCATGCAGTTGTATCGATCACCCGTTCTCAATCAAAATATCAAAATTAAGGAAGCTTTTTGGGTTGTGAAGTACTGGGTCTAGGCAATTGTTGTTTGTCGATCGTCTGTGTGTTAAATATTTTGAGTTTGAGATTTTGAGAGAATTAAAATTTAACTTCAAAACTACGTATTGTAATACGGGTGGATTTGTGACACTACATGAAGATGTGAGAGTAGAGTGCAAAAAATTAAGTTTTTTCATATTATTTCACAATAATGCATATGCGATACTAAATATTATCTCATGTGATTTGGGAGAAAAACACAGCTAATGTATGAAAACGGTGCACCAAAGTTTCTCTCTAGATTGTGTCTATTTATTTATCAAATGAAAGTAGTTCATTTTACTTTTTACTAAATAATATCATAGAATTACCAAAAACTAGTGACACAATAAGTTCCAAATCCTCAATGCCTTGGATGTGCACAACTCTGTTAATTTTGATAATCATCGTCTGTAGTAAATTACTAATAATATGCATAAATTTTGATAGTTTCTGTGATGAAATTACATACAAATGTCTTTAATAAAGTAATGATATTGCATAAATTTGATCAGAGAAAAGTGCAGTGATGTGATTATTATTTGATTAGAAAGTGGATTATGCTAAATGAGGGGGCATAAGACGATAAAACAGCATCAACAAACCATAACAAAAGTGAAGAAAACTAGGAGCATTTAGCCTATAAAAGTTCTTTTCTTTTAACTTTTAATTGCAAATGAGAATAAAAAACCAAAATTGCCCTACAACAAAGACTAAACAGGCACTAAAGCATGAAGATTAAGCAACATGATCAAAGAACTTCACCAGGAGAATTCAAAAAGTTCGACCTGATAACGCCATAGAAATACGATAAGAAGAAGCCTAATCAAACCGGAGCAGTTTCATTTTCTTGCTGCCTTGATCCTGATGGAGCCGCATTTTCTTGCTCTCCTTCACCAGACAAATCCTCCAATGACCTTCCCTTTGATTCAGGGACCAAGAATGTAAATAGCAGGCCTAGCAAGTTGACCACACCCAAAATTATAAGGGAGTTCCTCACCCCAATTCCCTTTTCTGCGTACTGAAATCCGAATGCGCCAATCATTGCCCCGGCCTTCCCCCACGCAGCTGAAATTCCGTGACATGTTGACCTTAACCTTGCTGGGAAAATCTCTGCAGGCACCACAAATGTCGTGGCATTTGGACCGAAATTGGCGAAGAAGAAGGTCAATGAGTACATCACAACAAACCCTACTCGGTTTTCTTTTAGAGTCCAGTGCTGGTAAGGAATGGCTAATGCAAACATGAAAACAGTCATGAAGAAAAAGCCCATTATTTGAATTGAGAACCTTCCAATCCTATCGATGAATGCCACAGTGAACCAGTACCCTGGGACAGTGCTGCATAGGGCGATGAGGGTTTGCGCTCTGGCAATTTTGAAGACTTCTTCAAGAGCACTCATGGTCTTTGCCTTTGGAATCCAACCAATGGCACTGAAGATGTCCTTTTGAAATAGATTCTGGCTGTAGAAGGCAATATCAAGCAAGAACCATGTGCTGGTAGTTCCGAGCAAGTGAAGACCATGACGCCGAAGAAATTCCTTTGAAAAAAGACCAAAATCATTCCCTCCTTGCTCAGTTCTCCCTTGTTCTGCTTCAACTTCAACCTGCAAAACTTTTGACATATCAGCAGCAGCCTGCTTGGCATTCTTGGCCACCAAGGCAGTGTACCGAGCAGTTTCTGGCATTTTCGCACGCCAGTAGTAAGTCATCAGAGCTGGGATAGCACCAAACATCAAAATAATGCGCCAACATAATCTGCTTCAGGGAAAATAGAGGTGGCTGGATCAGCTTCGTAAGATGGTGCAGGAAATCTTGCCTTAAAAGTTGCAGACACAATAATTGCAACCGTTCCACCAGCCAAAATCCCAAAACCCTGCATAGCAAACACGGCAGCAATGAAGGCTCCGCGAGTCTTTTTATTTGCGTACTCAGACATGATAGTGGCTGAAAGAGGGTAGTCGCCGCCAATGCCAAAGCCTAACCAGAACCTGAAAAAACAGAGTGTTGAAATCACTGCCTTGGGTTCTCTACCAAACGAGAGGCCGGAGGCAATAGAGCAAATGACCATGACCATAAGGACCATGCCGTAGACGCGTTTTCTGCCCAATTTGTCACCAAGCCAGCCGAAGAAAAGCTGGCCAGTTAGGGTGCCACAGAAGGCAACACCATTGACAGCGGCCGAAACATTATGAGGCAAACTGCCTGGCTCTGCAGCTCCGTGTTTCTGGTAATAAATGCGGCCGAGCAATTTCGTGACAAGGGAAATGCAGAAGAGATCATATGCATCAGTGAAAAATCCCATGCCTGCAATCACAATTGCTGTGAAATGGTACCATTGTGTTTTGGCCACATCAAGTGCATTCAGCACCTCCAATTGATCATTGGCCATCGCTAATTAGTTAGCCCTCCTCTCAAGTTATTGTATTCCCTTCAACTGCTCAAAACCTGAAATTTTTTATTCAAGGAAAAAGAAAAACAATGCGATTTTATCAATTATGTGACACAAAGATGATCAAAACATGGTGAGCACATAAAAATTTGGGAAGGGGTTTGGACAGTGTCGTCTGTAGGGCACCTCTCACAAAAACAAGATATCATGTATTTTGGTTTTATCTAGTAACCAAAGTGTCCTAAATAAGACAATTCTACTGAAATTCTCTCATGAACCAAAAGAAGACGGCAGAGGAAAAACAAGACAAAATAGGGGTTTATTTGATTCCACTGCAATCAATGAAAGTCAAGTTTGTAACATAATATCGTCTATGGTATATGTCAGATAAATGAAATTTTTAATCAAGAAAAAAGGACGTAGATAAAAAGATACAACAATTTTCAAAATAAAAAATAATCTAGGTATGTACTAATTAAGTTATATATATATAATTAAAAATGGGGGCTCCCGGAGATGGTGCTCTGTGCAGCTGCTCCTTTGGCACCCTCCAAAGGAGCCACTGCTTTCAGTTACATTTTTTCATTTCCATGAATAAAAAACAGCTTGAAAAAACTCACGCAATTTCCCTTTTGATTTGATCTTCTTTCTTTTTAGAACAAACGTGAAGAATAGGTGAAACTGAAAAGAACTTCCAGGAATATTCTTGTAATGAAAATACCTTGGCATTACGTGCCCAAGGTTTAGCAAAACTAGGAAAGAAAGAAAGAAAGAAAAAAAAAAAGATGAAACCTTGTGAAAGCTTGTGAAAGATGAGGGGAATATGGGGTTAAATTTGAGAATTTCAGTAACAATGATCATGTTGATCAATGTTAGTGGGTTGCAGATGTGAGTTAGGCCAGTTAGCCAAACACCTATAAAACGAATGGTTTAAAATATGACAAAATATCATCTTGTAAAACGAATAATTAGAGATTTGGTCATCATTTCCTTACCATCCAAATATGGAAAGAATGTGATTTCGGATCCAATCAATTACATTACATAAGCAGGCAAATGAAGATTAAAGAACACAAACAAGAAAATGAACAAAACCAAACAATAGCACAAGAGTGAAAAGACAAACAAACCTTGTATCTGAAGCCGTACACAAAGGTGAAGAAATCTTAGAATCTGAGACCGAGGCACGAAATCATGCAGAAATCACAGTACGAGGAGAACCTGTATCTGTGTGTTCATGCAACTAGTAGTGATGAAAAACCAGATCGAGTTAGAGGGAGTGTCTTTGTAGTGATGAAGAAGTAGTTTTGGGAATGAAACACAAAGACCAAGTTTACAAGGCCAAAGGGTAGAAATGGCTTTTTACCAAATGTAATTAATTTTAGACAACAGAAAGAGAGAAATATGAGGAAAGAGAGGAGTGAAGTATGGGAATGGAGGGAAGGGAAGGGGGGTTGTATCCGTATTTAACTGCAAACGACCCTCTAAATTTCTCAGTCATGTAGGAATCTTTCTTCTACCTGGCATATTCCCCCCATCTTTCGTTCTCTCACCTCACTTCACCTTTTTTTTTTTTTATCCTATCTTTCCTGCTCTTAATTAGTCAATTTCTTAATATCCAAATTTTATTTTTTGGATTCTAATTATTAGTATTAAAAAAAATACAATGGTAATAATTCTAATTATTCTGTGCGTAAGTGTAAGTAAATTTCATATTTGGACACTTGAAATAGTATTTGTTATTAATTTTTTACGGGATGAGAAAGGCAAGAATTGAACTTTTGTCGTGGTGTGGCCATATGAGTAATAGAAGCTCATATTATGCTCTAATATGTGTTTGTGCTTTTACTGGTTACAATTTTTATTTAAAATTTGAGGGTGAAAGTAGTTTGAGAGTTTGAAAAGAAATAAAATAGAATTTTAAATTTTTATTTCTGTTTAAAATAAATACTTAAAGAGTAAATAATCATTTTGTATAATATAACTAATTTTCTTTTTTTTTTAAATAAAGTATGATATTCTATTCATCGAAGAAAAGTCATTATATATATATATATAT